AGAGGGCAACAGATCATGGGGGCAGAAAACAGCAAAAGCAACAAGAGCTAAAAGGAGGAGTGGCAGCAAGCAGCCTGTTCCCCTCTCTTACACTGTATGCAAACAACTCGCCTGAGGGCAGGTGTAGTACTCACATCCGTAATCCCAACATTCCATCCTGAATGAATCAAAAACTCCGTAAGCCTGCCCCATGATTGCCTGAGGCTTTTGTGGGGGGACATCTAGACACAAACCATAACAAATAGATAACCAGAAAGTGAAAAAGTGCATCCCCCTTTCACATAGTTAGTCAGATCATTTCATATTTGATCTCCCTTTATTTTCTGTCCTTTAATTAAATTGTGCTGATAAATAAGAACCCAACAAGGTCAGAAACAGATTTTAAAAAGTGAGAGCATGTGGTTGGAGATCACGCTCTATAGTTGAACAATGAAGAGAAGACAGTTTCTTTTCAGGTGAACTTCATACTTCTTAGTTTGGCGTTCCATCTCAAGTTCAATTCAATCCTAGAGTGACTTCAGTTACATTGTAGCTGCTTCCTGCTATGCACAGACATTTGTTTAAGGAGTCACTACAATTATGGTTGACGTCTATGCACATGATGCACTTATGTTCTCCGGGAACATGAAGAAAAGGTCTAAATAGGTGATCAAAATGGTATGTGCTAAAGGGGCCAACTGTAGGCTGAGCCCAACTGGTGGCATTAAAATGCCACTGCCAGATTTTGAGCAGTATCATTACATGGAGAGATATTTTTCATTTTTCCAGTTTGCTGAATGGGTAGTAGGCTGAGATTTCTAAAAGGAGAGATAGCAATTCAGTGGCTAGACGCAGACCAAAATTTTCACACTGGAAGTGGGTGTTTCCAAACGGTGTTAACATAGAGACAGTACACTCAATTTCAGCTTGGTTTGAGCACCACAGTGCAATATGAGAGGTGATTTGACATGACTCTAAAAATCTGAGTCACTTTAAATGCTTACCGGGAGCAATGACAGATTTGTAAATGGATAAGGTTTTAAAGAAAGTAAATTTTATGGGGTTTGTTGTTGCTGTATTAAATTATGTCAGATTTGCGAGGACAGAAAACTTTCTAACACTTATATAATTCTCAGAATTTTAGAAAAGCAAATTTAAGGATTACATGAGCGGGACTTACTTCATTTCTTTCCTCAGTGCCTATGAGGATATGTTCACTATGTAATTTTGAATAAAATTAATGAATAAGGAGATAGGTGGATATAAAGTCACAAGGAGAAAGCTAGTTGAGGAAAGTCTCAGATTCAAACAGTTTTCCTGTTTTGGAAGTAAATTAAGTACTTACATGTGAAAGGAAAAATAATTCTCTGGATATATCTTAAGTAAGTGTAAACATCATCATAAAAAAAAAAAGCAATTTATTCTACACATGCTTATTTAAATTCTCATTGTATTTAAAACCACACCTGAACAACAACAACAAAAATAACATGCTGGCTACTGGACCAGCTTGTGTAGTTAAGCATGATTGAGGTAGAAACTGAAAAATATCCAGAAACTAAGCTGAATGTGATGTCATGAAGCAATTCTGCTAGGAGTAGGAAGTTGTGTAGTAGGAGAAGGTTAAGGAGATCCAGCTACCTCCCTTTAGGTTTGTGTCTGAGGTGAATCACTGCACAAAGGAAATTTTAGGAAATAAGCTTGGAAGCCAGTTTTCCAAACTTTTATTTTCTCATTATCCTCAAAATACTTTACCAAAATTCTATATACTTTGAATGATGTTCATTTATTTCTCCCAGGAAGAATAGGAAGCCAATCATCAAAGCATTGGTAGGTTCAATTCTTTTTAAAACCCTTTCATCTAAAGCAAAGTTCTCTCCCAAAACTTTATCTCCAAGTATGGAGGGCATGGAGCAAATACTCAGTTCATGACAGTGTAGTAGAAAACACAAAAGAAAAATAGGTTCATGCTGTAAGTTTAAATGTAAGTTCAGTTTCTCTTTGCCTTGGTTTCTCCATAACTTTTCCCATGGCTGGGACAAAATACTCAATAAACACAATTTAAAGGAGGAGACATTGAACTTTGTTCACAGTTTCAGGGGGCTCAGTCCATGGTTGCCCGGCTCCAGGGTAGAAACATCATGGCGGATGGGTGTGCCGTGCAAGGACACTTAGTTCATGGCTGCCAGGCAACAGAGCAGGTGAACAGCACCAGCGTGGAAAGAAGCCAGGGACCATGTATAGCACCCAAAGGTCAGGGCTCCACAGTCCACCCAGACATACTGCACCCAGGCTACTTTGCTCTCTGCTAGTGACTTTTAATTCAATCAACCTGACACATCCGAGTTAATAGTCACACCAAGGAACAAATAATATTAATAAACAAAAGGTGTATTACAAGATTAAAGTACATATTACTAGGATATTTTTGGTTTTTATTTTTTTGTTTTTTTTTCCGGTACCGGGAAGATATTTTCATTATATGTGGAAATAGTTTGCTTACTTTACATGTCTTATAAAGACACCCGCAGCTTATTCAATTGAAATAACTTCTCTTTCCTTTAATTGGGAATAGTTCCAAATCCAAAAGGTCCATTCAAGGTGCTCATTTTAAATTCTGCAAAACCGTGTTCCAAGTCCTTTCTTAAAGAGCAGATTGCATCTCTTCTTGCTTCCCTCCCCTCGGCACTGGCAGTGTGCTTTGCTCCTAATAAGTCTGGAGAGCCACAAGCTGTCTTGCCTGGAGTCTCCTAATTTGCCACGTGGAATCTATTTCAGTGTAACTAAGCTAGGTAACACTGAATTCTCAGTAAGTTTGTGGATTATTCTGGAGATGTGGGGCAGTTCACAAACTTATTTTTTAAGGGTAACTGTCATTACGTTTTCATTAGGACAAGACTTTGGTGTTACATTCTCCTGAAGAGTAGGTATCTGTGAGTTTATATGTGCATGTGTGGCTGTGTACACAGGACAGGGAAATGTACAACAAAAATATGAATTATAAATTAAAAATAAAGTAATAGTAGATTTCCCTAACACAACCTGTGTCAACTGTGACCATTCATTCTTTCTTTTGGTAATGCCATGCTTTGTCTTGTATTTTGAAAGTGGCAAATGCCTGGGTGCTGCAGAGAGTGTGCGTGTCATCACCAAGTCCCTCAGCTCCGTTGTCTTGACAGGAGTGTAGACAGTGAGGCAGCACACCTAATTTGTAATAGTGTACACTTCTGCTTTCATTACCTGTTCAAATCACAATTTCTGGCTTTAACACAATTTTAGTCCTCTTTCTAAAGGTAAGGAGCTACGTACCAGTCCTCCAAGGTCTTAGCAATGTGTTAAATGAAAAACAGGAACCTTATTAATAATTAGGAAGAAAAGAAAATCTTTGGCTTAAAACCTTTAGTTGAATCTTTTAATCTATGAAGGCTGCTAACTGAGGAACATGAGTGCTTATATTGTTTGGTCAGTTTTGCATGCCTGTACCCGGTAATCTGAGCAACTACTTTGAAGATAACAATATGTGATAGACTAACCATTGTTAATTGCCTAGCATCTTGTTTTGAAATTCTGTATCATTTTTTTCTCTTTAAAATAACAAAAGGAAAATGCAATCACAAAAAAAAGAATTTCTTACAAGACTCTAAACTTATGATTTTCGAAGATGCACTTTCAGTTCTGTCTTTCTCACTTTTTTTTAATGAAAGACTATTAAAGCAAGTGGTGTATTGTTGCCAGCAAACTATTAACAGTAGCTATTTCCCCTCATAGAAGCAATCAAAGGAGCACCTTTACCTAAAATCTCAAGATTCAATCTGCAGCTTTTTGATATTGAATTTATACAAGCTACCAATATGTGTTTTGCCATGTTTTAGGATTTCACCTGTGTTTTTGAATATACTAAATATAATATAAAATATATATTCATCTTTATAAACTATCAATAGTTCCCTAGATATAGTTTACCTAAAAAAAAAAAAAAATTTAAATGAAGGAATTTTCTATAAAGGAAGAACATTTTTATGATGCCAGTTTTAGTAGCTGACAAAAATAATTATTAGAGATCCAGGATATCTTTATTTCAAAGCTGCAGTGTTCTTCGGTGATGTCCTGTATACAGAGCAGACAAGATAAAAAGGTTGTAAGACATTTAAGAAAGGTATTAGGAGGTTCAGGTTGGTGCTTTTGTAGGCCAAGAGCCATCTGTTTGTACAAATTGTAGCATTTTATTATTAACAACTCCCGAAGTGGGAAGCGGCTCCTTCAGTGGGGAGGACAGATTTCTGTCCATCTGTGCCCGCATTGCCGCATGTCACTTGCACTTTAGATCTGCACAGCTCTGAGCGGATGGAGGCGCCGCAAGGTTGAGGTGGAGTCGCCGCCTGTCGCGTGTTCTGTCTCCAAGGCCGCGCTGACTGCCAACTGGTGCCTCAGCACCGCCCCAGGCCCGCGTCTGTTGGGCCTCGGAGCTGGGCCTCCCCTAACGCTTCTCCAGAAAAGTGTTAACTTTCAACCTTCGCAAGCATCAGAGGCAGAACTTCATCTCTGCCTGGACTCTGATGGGTGTAGTGGTCCTTATTTAAGTGGCTTCTTTCTCAGTGTTTGAGAATGTGCAGAGATCTCCAGTGATTTTTCTTAACTCTTTTCAGGTTTTTGGTAGTTCTCTCAGTGCTCAAACATGGATGGGAAATTCTACTTTTATTGCTGAAAACAAGGGTACAGAAGGTAAAGCTGAGTTCATGTGCTTGAGTATGACATGTTTATTTTATTTTGGTTTTTGGAGACAGGGTCTTGCTATATGTAATTCAGTGCTTCAAAGTGCTTTGTAGCTTCGGCTGGCCTTGAAGTTCCTGAGATCCTCCTGCCTCAGCCTCCCAAGGGCTATGACTTTAGGCGTGACCCACCACACCCAGGTGGCATGTTTATTTTAAATCCCTTGTTTTTTGCCCTTTCTCTTTTTTTTGGGAAAAAAAAAAAGTTCTGCTTGGGAAGTTTAAAATGTATACTTTCTTTTTCCCCCAAAGCGCTTATCAGATTGTTGTGGAGGAGCTGCACCCACACAGAACAAAGAGGGAAGCCGGGACCATGGAATGCTACCAGGTTCCTGTCACCTACCAGAGCTCCGTGAGCGGGGGCTCCCCGTACTACTTTGCCGCAGAGCTGCCCCCCGGGAATCTCCCCGAGCCTGTCCCCTTCACCGTGGGGGACAACAGGACCTATCAAGGCTTCTGGAACCCGCCCCTGGCTCCCCGCAAGGGCTACAACATCTACTTCCAGGCCATGAGCAGCGTCGAAAAGGTGAGGTCCCTCCGAGACTTGACGCTCCGCGGCTCTGCGCGAAGGCGAGAGCTGTGTGTGCTAAGGGCTCTGCAGGATCTGTCAGCAGGAGTGAGAAAAAGCCGCGGAGGAAGAGAGGGTTGCCGTGCAGAGAGGGTTGTTTCTGCTCTGCACCAGTTTGGGGCTGGCACTTCCACGGCACAGGATCCCAGCTTCCCAGCATCCTCTGCCACTGCGGCCTTCTGCAGGAAAGCCCACCGTGGCCGGGGTGGGAGGTGGGCACGGCTGCTGGACTTCACCCCAAAGTCAACCCCAAGCCTCGTTCTCCTTCCCTTGCTGCCAAGTGGCTCGCTTCAAAGGATTAAATTTACTGCAGGATAAACAGAATGCGTGCTCCCCAGCAGGCTAATAAACGCTTATAAACCTTTCAGGGGGTACGCGCCAAATAGTAAATAACTGGTAACAATCCTGTGATTACGAAGTAATAGGGCGCCTGCGGTCCAGCGGACAGCACCTGGACAGAAGGGCCCGCTGACCTGCCGCTGCGCATTTCCCACGCCGGCGTGCTGCCCGGCGGCCCCTCCTTTTCCCATTCCAGACACAGTTGTGTTTGCCGCTGCTGCTGATCCCAAATGCATATCGAAGAGGGAAGCACCACAGGACGTTAGAGACGACCGTGGCCCCATGTGGGGAGAAGCAGCCTGGCCTTTTATGTCTCATGCTGTTCTCTTTGAAAGACTTTTCTTTCCTAAAACTTACTTTATATATATATATGGGCAGAGAGGAATAGAAAAAAAGTATGCAGAATAGAAACTTCCACAAGTCAGCCTCCGGTGGAATACTGACATGTTGATGGACCTGTAGGCATTAAAACAATTTTGAGTTTTGTTTTTTGGGGGGGCAGGGGTTGGTGTTTTTTTTTTGCTAATTTTATAAAATTGAGTCCCCAAGGTGGGCATCTGGGAACTGTTCCATCAGGAGCAGACAGTAACATTTCCCTCTTACTCCACACCACGTAACAAGAGTTAGTTTGGAACTGCTCACCTCTCGAAAGATTAAAATGCAAAGGCAGAGCCATGTTTCCCCGCCACTCAGCTACTCGTGAAATTTGTGGTATCCAGTTACGTCTGTTATATTATATCTCGGAGTTGTTCAACTGGCAGACATTACACATTTGCACTTGTGCACGGGGCCTGAGTACTCGGGGACTGAGGACCGAAGCTTTATCTTTTGGCTGACCTCTGTGGGTGGCTTGCATATACAGCAAGAAGAATTCCATAGCATCTTCTAGACATACTCCAAAGCCAGAGGCTATTCCTAGGTGAAGGAGCTCTTCTGTCCTTTTAGTCTCCTTCTATATAATTGGAAGTCTTTAGAGACAACTCTGTGGCCTACTTCCCTAATACCCATCATTGCAAAGAGCTCCTACAGCTGGTCTGCTCTGTGAGCGGTGAAAGTTACTAATCCATTGTGGATTATTATTATGCGGTAGCATAGAAGTGGGGAAACACTTCTGCTTTTGCAGTTTTAATCTTTAGAGAGGAGAAAAGTTCCAAATGAACTCTTGTTAAGTGGTCTAGAGAAAGAGGGAAATGATACTGTCTGTTACTGATGGAGGATTTTCTGTGGCACTGTTGAAAGGCTTTCTTAGGCATTTTCTCTTCTAATATAGCTACACTGTGGTTTACTCAATGCTTAGAGTAGCACCAGCATATTTCACAAACTCCTTGATAAAAAAAATTTTAAAACTGGCCTGGTTCCCAGCAGCAGAGCCTGGTAATCCCTTCAGAAAGTCGATAGAGATTGCTTTTAGGAAATCAGAATCCCTTTGGGCCTTTATGAGAACGTGAAAAGCAATCTTGCTTCCTACAAAGGTCACAATTAAGTAATAGAGATGTACAGTTACACTTAACTTACTATTACTCCCTCAGTGCTTTATGTTGTTTAATTTGAAAACAAGTGCTTAAGGGAAAATTATAAATTATTTGGCTTTACCAATATATAGCTCTCTTCCTGATGGAGTTGTAAATGCTTCTTGAAAACAAATAGCTTCTGTTGTGGTAAAACCCACTTGTTATGTGTGGAACCAGCAAGGAAGTGTGGAAGGGTCTGTGAGGACCAAAGAAAGAGACGGACAGATCAAGGACTGCACAAAGTACAATGTAGGAGAGATTTATGGACAGAAGTACGACTGGGTTGGAACAAGACAGGAAGATTCCAAGCCCCATAGGAAGAGGAAGGGGTTTATGTGCCCAGCTAGGCAAATACGGCCAGTACTCAACCAGAATGCACTTGGCTTCTTGAAAACTACTTACATGTCCAGTGTCAGATATGAAACAGTGTAGGTATCAGTGGCCAGACTATCTTAATGGCTTTGTATGTTCAGTAGGATTTGGGACACATGCCAGGGGCACACGGTAGGCAAAATGGCGGTTACAGCCAAGATGGCTGTAGTCAGGTTAAGCTGGGTCTCCTCAGACTCTGTTAAGTTCACTGGCTTTGACACCTCTTCTAATCTGTTGTATTTCCAAAGACAGTCGCTGGCTGACTGAACTAAATCCTTGCAAAGCATGCATGGGCCAGGCTATCTTTTGCTTCCTACTCCCCCAACATTAAAAAATTGTAATCATTCTTGTCACATCCTCCTTATGCTTGCACTTTCTCTACCCTGTTCTTCTAGCAGGAGGTTAAAAAGTAATCTACAATGAGAAATGTTTAACTCTTCACAGCTAAATTAAAAGCAAAAGAGCACATAAAATATACTGCAACTGTGATACAGTCTTTAGGTAATGTTTCTAACCAACATTTACGTCTTTAGTTATCTAGGATCCCAGCAAGGCTGCATAATTTAATGTTTAGCTTTGGTATGAGTCTCTAGCTCTCAGGTGAAATTTATATTTGCATTTTGGTTCTGACTTATATTAGCTGTGCAAATATATATTATTTTCTTTCTGATAGTTTAAGAGGTAGACAAAATTCTAAACTACTTGTCCCTGACATAGTGAAAACAGACGCCAGCATCTTTAGAAATACTGAATTTTTTCTGAAAGCTTTTATTTTAGATTTAAAAAAAAAATTCTCAGAATGTATGTTAGGAACCAAAAAAAATTTCTTAATACTGTAATTCTCCAACAAAAACACTCATTAGTATTAGAATGCTGTGTAACTGCCATTTTGCATCCAGGGTCTGAGTTCACATTCCAAACCCTATAACACAAACAGGGTCAGTAAGATCATCAGCAAAGCAGGCCAGCACACTCCATAGTGTCATTCTGTATAATCTTATTTTACGAACCCTGATTGGTCTTCATTATAGTTGTAGTTTGTGAAATAAGAATGTTGATCTGTACACTGACTATGTTCTTTTATTTTTCACTCCATCAGGAAACTAAAACCCAGTGTGTACGAATTGCTACAAAAGGTAAGTGGCTTGCTTTTTTAAAAGAAACTCCATTCATCCCGTCTCTAAAAGGAATGGGCTTTGTTCCCTGCCTTGAGCTAATTAAATGTGGCATTTCTATTACAGAATATTTGTAATGGACCCAGCAAACCTTATAGACAAGTTCTCTGACTCATATGGGTGTTCTTAATACACATTGGGGTCTTCTGTCCCATCTGCTAGAACTTGACTGAAGGAATCTTCAGAGAATAAGAAAGATTTAGAAATACCTGGAAGGGCTTATTTCTGCTATTTATTTCCCGAAAGGTCTTGGGCTGCAGATCAACCAGAGTGTTAGGGAAAACTAAGCAAAGCAGCTCAAAGTAACAAGGTGCTTGCTTAAAAACCTGTTACTGTCTGTGATAGACGATCAAATGCAGAAAGAACTAAGCGTTTGTACCTGTGGGGTATAGGTGTGGAGATGACTCCGTGTCTTCATCAGTAGTGCATTCTTATAGAACATGGTCTGCTTTTCTTTTTCCATTCAGTTAATGCCAGGAAATCACATCCGTGACCAGTAGTAACCAGGGCGATTCCTGCCGACCCCACCTCTTTGAGCTTAACTGACTAGTTAATTTGAGAAGAAGAAATATTAGCATCTTTGAATGAGCAGTTAGAGTTCAGAGAGTTGGGGAATCTCCCACAGTCCTATATTTACAGTCCACCATTTAAGAGTTATTTGATAGTTCTAACAAAGGAGAGATCACTCCTTTATAGAGTCTAGCAAGAGAAATCAAAACAAGCTGTCTATGTGCAGGCAGATCCTCCTCAGAGCATTGGTCCTTTGGGTGGTTTGTTTGCTTTATTAGTAGTAGACCCACATGTATGAGCAGTAGTTGATTCATTTGGGATGAAAATAAATAGCCATGTTCTGTTTGTGCTGGCGTCTTTCCTTTCATCATCTCTCTCCATCTAGTATTCAGTCTTCTCAATTAGCATTTGTGTTTTACTCTTGCTTTGTAAAGGCAATGAAGACATTTTCCTCACTCATGAGAATAACCCACAAGCTTCACAGAAGAAAAGCAAATACTTGTCTGATTCAAATGTTAAGATTCTTCATGGTAGCTTTTAAAAAATTAAGTAAGCCTTCATGAAAGAAAGATCATTCATACAGAGGCATGTAATGTGCGAACATTTATTTTACTTTAAACATTTAGAAATAGAGTAGGAGTTAGATTTGAAGTTTCTGACGTTAATGACAGAAGGCGTTTAGGTGTATGTCACCTAAGTTGTTCCGGGTTTAAAGTAGAGCCAGACATGTAAACTGGTCTTGCGTCAACCCCTGAGAGAGTTCTTTAGCTGTAATAGTGCTGCATTTTTATAAATGAGAAAGGAAAGGTTTAAATGATTTTAACATTTTAAATGCTTTTGCACGAACCCTGAAGTGTTGTTTTTGTCCTCCTCTGAGCACTGTGGCAAATACGTGATATTTAGACTTCAGAAAGGTTGAGATTGTGGAAATGAATTTTAGCATGTGGAATAAAGCACGGGCCAGACTTGGGGTGGTAAGAAAGAGTCCCTTTATGTCCTTTTCTAGCTGATGATTTAGCTCTGCTCTATGTCCTGATGTCAGCTTAACAGGATGGTGAGGTAAAAGAAAGGAATCTGGCCATAGACTATCTAGATGCAAATCGTGCCTGGTTGGTAGTGCTTTAGCCTTGGGCAAATTATAAAAGCTCCCATTCCAAAGTTAGAATAGTAGAGCATTCATCTCGCTGTTATTGTAAGAATTAAACTACACGTAGTCCTGTCTTATCCAAAGTTTTGCCTTCTGTCAGTGGTCAGTCATGGCCTGAAAATATTGGATGGAAATTTTCAGAAAACGAAGAACTCGTAAGTTTTAAATTACATGCCATTCAGAGGAGCATGATAAAATCTCACACCATCCTGCTCTGTCTTGCCTGGGACCTGAATCATCCCTTTGTCTGGTGGCGCCGTGGTGAATACCTTACCCCCACATTACTCACACACTATTCACCTTAGGTATCAGATCAACTGCAGTGCTCTCCCTGTGCCGTGTATTAATGTAACCCTTAATTTACTTAATGATGGTCCCAAAGTACAAGAGTAATAATGGTGGGAATGTTATTACAGTGTAGTGTTTTAATTGATTTATTTTGTTATAATTGCTGTTAAGTTCTTAGTGTGCCTAATTTGTAAGTTAAATTTTATCATGGATATGTATGTATAGGAAAAAAAACATAGCACTATATGCATAGAATTTGAGACTATCTGAGATCTCATCTTCTGAGGGTTTTGAAACATAGCTCCCAGAGCTAAGGGAGTCTGCTGTACATGTGGGTAGCAGGATGGAGAGGGCACATGCATGTTGTCTACTGTCCTATCATCATAATTATAATATCTTTGTCTTCAGAAGGACATAGTTTATGCTGTGCAGTTATGAAAAAATACTTATAAGTATTAAAGTAAACTACATGCTAAAGTACTAAAACTAAATACTACTAAGAACAAAATACTAAATACTAAAATAAATAGAAGTTTTCGGGAGGAAAAACTAAGATTTGTTTTTTTTTTTTTTTAATATTTCTACCTAACTGTAACATTTTTCTGGTCCTAAACACTAACTTTTTCTTCCTGTGAAAAACCACACTTGTTAAAGTAATATCAGCTTATTGCCTGTGAACAATATTTGAAATTAACATCATATAAGTGTGGTCAGATTGGTCTTCATATTTTAAGCTTAAAATGCATACTGATTCAGTATTCAGTATTCAAATTTAATGCTATAATTTAATAATCTGGTACTTCTGTGTGTCTTGGGGAAATTTAAGGCTGAGAATCAAATTAACTACAACAAATATTTGTTGAATCAGTAATTGAATTTAAACTAAATTTAAGGTAGATGTTTCAGCTTTAATATTTAATCAAACAACTTACAGCACTCTGCAGTTCTGAAAAGTGTCAGAGCAGTTTATATATGAGTTAGGATAAAGTTAGTACACAACTAGACATATTTTAATGAGCATTGTTTAAATGTGCATTTAAATTACAATATATACTTTGTAATATAGAATATTTTCCCAAAGCTGTCAGTTTGGTTTTTCTAAATAGAATATAGTTAATTAGAAACATAATTTATAAATTAAAATGTATTAAATTTAATCCTAATCTGCCCCGAATTACTTTTATTCAGCTGAGTTTGCTTCCACTAAGTTCTGTGACAATGAATGCTTTCTTGTTCATGAATTAGCTAAAATTCTGTGTTTAACTTCATGACTGTAATTTTTATTCCTGTAGTCTGTTGTGTAAGTCTTTTGCTCTCCTGCTAGACACAGTTCATGTGAAAGATTTACTCTTAACACTGTGATTTATTGGAGCAGAGGATCCAAAGAAAACCTGGTTTTTACCTCTTAATACTAAGATTCTGGCTGCAGCTATTATAATAAAAGATTACAATTCCTTTAGATGTCATGCAACAGATCATAGCTCACTAACACAAGAATATATCATATTTGCTAATGAGAAGCCCTTTGAGCTCATAAGCTGTATTTACAGTTTACAATCAAAGTAAATATAAGAACTGTAAATAATCTTTATTTTTCTCAATGTAAGCCCGGAACTGCGAATCAATAAGGGTAACACTCATTTTTTTTCCCATATTTTCCTTTTCCTCGCAATTTGAGTTATTTTTAAAATTCGTACCGGTTTTCTCCTAACTACTTCGTACTTGGAATGTTCGTGCCTCATGATTTCTGTGAAGTCACCTCCAAAAGAACAATAGCACCAACTGTAAGTAGGAGACATTCTCTCCACTGTGTTTCCGGAGAAATGTCCTCCTCAGAGAAGCGCAGAACCCTAAGGAGTTAAGACCTCCATGGAGTTTCTGGCACTTCTTCCTCACAGCCTTGAACTAAGCTGAAGTTCAACAATTCTTTGACGTAGAATTGGGTAAAATATCCTTTACATCTAGAGTATTATAATTCCAATTAGTTTTGACAGAATGGAGGTAACTGTAAGGATACAGGAATAAACAAGGAAAGGAAAACTAACTTGTTCACCTAATAGGTGGGTCAAGGCAATACAGTACAGTACAAGAAAGAGTTGATGGAGTCTCACAGTTGACCCCCAGGACCTAGTTCCTGACCAGACGTGGAGAACAGACTGAGTGAATGAAGGAGTTGCTACTAGCCAATATTTAACTCTGTTTACAGACATGCATATTTTAGGCATTAAAGATGAAGGACAACACAAGCATTTGTATATTTTGGAAATGAAGTTGTTTCACGAGAAGGCCTTGACTGGCTGCCAGTTCTTTCCTGAGAAGCCCATTGGCGGTGTTTTACATTGGTGCCTGATTCTGCAGGAAAGGAGGGATTGTGTCAGTGCCTCACAGTCTGTCGCTGTTCACTCCAGAAAGGGAAAGACTGTCTTACTTTAATTATAATGCTTTATTCAAACACCTGGGGACAATTGGAAAAATGATATGTTGATAAGCCTAAGAGATTTGACTGATAATGCATTTCAAATCCATTAAAGGTAGTTATATCATTAATATTCAAAAACCTATAGTTTAGCAGGAAGAAACAAATAAAACAATAATATTTGAATATACAGTAGCATGTGACAAAAGCCACAGTGCTAATTTCGCTGAGAGAAAAGACTAATACACTGAAAATAATAGAATATTTGTGAGAAAAATGAAATAAGTCTTATAGAAATATATGTAACAGATTTATGGATTAGACTACTCAGAACTGGTAACTGTCAGTTCTTCCATATTCACCTGTAAATTTAAAACAATCAGAGAGGCTGGAGGGTTAGTTCAGTGGTACAGTGCTTGTCTAGTAAGCTGGAAGCCCTGGGTTCAGTCCTCAGCACCAAAAAATAAAAACTAATAAACAAAAGAAAAGATTAAACCAACCAGAATTCCTAGTTCTTTTTTTTTTTTTTTTAATTGACAATCTGAGTCTAAAACTAACATGGTTATGCCAAGGGTCAATGAATTAAGGTAACTTTGAAGA